ACGAGATATTCGATATGAAACATACTAATGAACGGAACATTAAAGAACAAAGCTTTACAAATATTTGTAATAAATTGGTGTATAAAATTTTTTCATCTCAATCCTTTGAAGCATTCTTTCATCCTCGTTTATTTATATATCGTTCGCCAAGTGCGCATCATCTCCAAAGGATTAGGAATTAACAATACGTTACATTTAAGTTACATTTTGATTTTCTCATTATCACATACGCGCGAAGCAAGACTAAATAAAAATAAAAAGTATCGTTTCGTATCGCGTATCAAAAGTTACTTTCACTCAACAGGAAAGCCTTATTTACGACTAGTAATACGACTGAAAGGAAATGAGTGGCTTGGCCAAGTGAAAGGATTACGGTGTAATATAAGCGTAAAAGAATTGCCTCTTTGCTTTGATTCTCCTATGCAGATTAACCAGAAGTACTTCCTTCGCCTGTGAATTTCGTATTCACTCGTTTTCACCGAGTGTTCTTAAAAAGTGTCGCGGCACTTGTAATGGAATTCGTTGTTCAGGCGCGTTCAGCGAAGACAAGGGACTATCGTTTTTCGTCCACGGATCAACAATTGCTTGCAGGGCCACTTCAACTCGCTCATGAACGTTTGTGATGCATGGTGTGCTGCTGGAATCCCGGCTTTTAGCAAGCATCTGTGTGCATTCGTGTGCGCGTATTCCGTCAGCCAACCGCTCAAGTGGCTTACAAATGTTTGCGAACCACTTAAGCGAATGGTGGATATGTGTTAATAGTTCCTCGACTTTTGCGGAAGAGGAACGTTTTCCAAACGTTCTTTACCGCTGATATTTTTTTTTTTAAAGGCCTCGTAACTTTCGCGCGTGGAATTAAACAAACAAGCTTGCAGAGAACTTGCAAGAGGAAAAGAATGTTTCGTTTCCCTCTTTTCTTTTTTTTATAATTTTAAGTGGAATAAGATTGTAAAGTCTTTTGAATGAGCGGATTGATCAATGAGTCAGCTGGACTGCGGATGTTCCGTACAAGTTTATGTCATTATCAAATAAAGATTGATCTCACGGATTAAATATTATAATACTTTAAGTACTTTACTTGGAATATTTTTATGCATTCTTGCTTGTCTTCATGTTTTTCAAGGCTTAAACTTAGCCGCGGCATAGTGATCGATGTATACGAAGTTATGACAATTTATATTAAATTGAATAATGGCATTAATTTGGCACGTATGTACTTCTAGAATAATCCGCATATGCATCAAAAAGATTGACGATGTAAAACATACTTCAGCAAGCGGGACTTGCCATTAAAAATCTTGGTAATTTATTATGTTTTTTAAAACTCCAAAGTATTTGAGAATACTATTTCATAAAATAGTTTCACAAATAAATGTATACAACACCTATTCTACTAGCATTTCTATCAAAAGTTTAATCGAGACTTTGTCCTCGTAAAGTAAATCAACGTTATATACATGTAATATAAAACAAGTATAAATACTTTGTACACGTGTCATCAACTTTGATTGAATTGTCGTAATATATAGTACGAAATATTGCGATATTTATCTCTAAGTGATGTATAAGGAACTAACGAATTGAGATTATTATCTTCGTTCATCGACTAACGTAATAATGTCAATTAGTTCAATATTAGAATAAATTATATTTCAGTTTGCATCGTTTAGTGCAACAGTGACGGAAGATTTTTCTCAGAATATGAATTCTCTGACTCAAGATTTGAAATGATAAATTCTGCCCAGAAATACTGGAAAGAAAATCGACAACTGGAAGAACAAGTTGAATAAATTAGAATACAAAATTTCATTATATAAAAGGTATTTGATTTTCCTTGCATATATATGTACGTTATATATGCGTTTTATATTTTAATTTGCCCTTATCGGGACAAATGCGAGGCTAAAAAAGACGTCTTGGCACCGTTAAGTAATTCTTCGCGTGTTAAAAAAAATGACAGTTTTTTTGGGGTTACCTTGACGTTACGTGTCGTGATTTACGATGAAAAATCGGAAAACGTCGGTGAGTCGCTGTAGACGTGGAAAGTTTGATCTTCGCTGGGAAAAACGTTAGCTTCCGATTTATAAGACGCCACTTTGTCGGAGATGCAACTGATTGTTCCCGTGCGATTTTTACGTACTGGATCGCCCGACTCAAAAAAAAAAAACAATTATAAAAATATAAATTAGAAAAGTTGGTAAAATCCAATTTTTCCAATACTAAACGACAAATTTGTCACATTATAATTTTCACAAATTGAACAAAGTCAGTTTTACTTTGCTCTGTTTCTCATGCATATATGGGTACATCACTTTGAGGGTGCATGGTATGTAATGCAGGTATTAGTTTTCGAGTTGGTTCACGATTAATGTTCCCATTATGAAATGTATTGTAGCGGAGCCTAAAGAAATAATGAAATTCTGAATTCCATTACACAAAAGCAGACTTAATCGATTTGACCCCTGAAAGATTTTATGTGCTACACACCTTCAAAGTTTGTAAGCTGTTCTCTTAATCATACTAATCGAGTAACGTTTCAGATAATTGTTGCTTGCTGTTATCAAGTAATATATCAGACACGTACATTTTTAATGCACGAAATTAGCTCTCGTCTGATCGATTATTCGACTGAGATTTCTAGGATTTAATGAAACATCGATCACCTGGTCAGAATCGCTGGAAATCGACTTCCGACTTCGATTTCGGCAATTATCCGCGAACATCGAAGGACTGGAAATGTCTCTTGATTCTGACACTTCCTGGATAGTCGAGAGCTTACGGTCCTCTTCATCGTCGTCGTATATCTCCACGGTGGTCTCATGAATTCTGGCCTGACACTCTACACAGGGAGGGACGTGTATGAGAGAGACCTAGCTAACCGAGGTCTCCTCGACAGACGGGCTCGCCAGTGCTTGTGTCTCACCGTTGGCATGTTTCACCTCGTCCTGGCTTGGACGTGGTGCCGGTGGACTGCTCCGAGAACAGGAGGTCATGCTCTGCATTGTTTGACTACGACCGCCAGAAAATCGCATGCTGTACGCTGCACGGTTACCACTTTGAAGTACACCCGTCTGCAACAGTTGAAAGATAGAATAGATGGAATTACCCTCATTAACCTAGGAGAATTATTTTCAATTTTCCTAATTGAATTATTAGAAACTGCATGTATCTGTATCGTAACGTATTAGTGATTCACAGTGCCAACAAGATACTTCTAAAACTTTTGATTTTTGTGAAAAATTCATCAAAGTAATTATGATTTTTAGAAGAGACAGTAATTTTAAATAACAATGTCGGAAACTTAATATTTCATAAGAGTGAAGTGCAATGAACTAGTTTCTAAAATATATTTCTTTCCATTAGATTGTATCTAATATTACCCGTCAATGCGAACAATTAGTTACTACTAGAATCGTATTGTTTTTTTTTTTTTTTTTTTTT